TTGTTGATCTTCTGACAAATGTCGCTGTATCTTGCAAACCGTTGGTCCCATCGCTTTTTCACCTTACAGTTTTCGATAGAACTCGTCGAGAACTATAAGAAACGCTACTCAGAACTACTGGGTACTCTCAAAAAAATTTTCAAAGATTTCTACTATTTTATTTAAACTTTATTATATTTCAATAATGTTTTTTATGTATCAAGAACTCTAGGTATTCACAAAATAGTTCTGTTAAGCTGATCAGAACTATGCGACCTTGAATTTCGTTAAAAAGTTAGCACCCCATTTTTTAAAAATTATTTAAAAATGTTTATTAAGCGCATATATCATTAAAAATCATAGAGAACTCTTCGTATCGTCAAAAAGAAGCAGGAATTATAATCAGAACTACTGTATCTAAAAATTAATTTTTCAAAAATTTTTAATTGTTTTTTTAATATTCGAAAATTTTTTTTACATATCAGGAACTCTAGGCAATCGCAAATTAAAGCTATTAAGCTGCTCAGAACTATTCCACCTCCAAATTCGATAAAAAGTTAGCACCCTATTTTTAAAAAATGTAAAAAAAATGTTTATTGAGCGGAACTCTTGTTATTAATTATAGGGAACTCTTCGTCTCGTCAAAAGGAAGTGGGAATTCTAATCAGAACTCCTGAGTACTATAGTTGGGGTGCTAACTCAACATACCCACAGTGCCAGTACTGGTCGTTTAGGGGTACTTTACTCTTGACGTGCGGTGGCAGCGGAAAACTTAAAAAATTATTTAAACATATTAAACGAAGAGTACTCGGGTCGACACTTGCATATTTCTTCGGAACTATTGTAGTACTGTCGGAAAAAGTCGAAAAGTCGGCCAGTACTGACTGTTTGGAGGCATTTTACTCTTGATGTGTGGTGCCAGCGCGCGGATCGAAAAATTGTTTAAACATATTAAAAAGGTGGGGAGTGTCACTAAAACCGATCAGGAACTGTAGTACTCTTCGAGTACTGTGAGATTCCGTCATAAAAATCGGCTTTTTCAAATCTTGCGGTGCCACGCGAAGTTAGCGCCGCATATTTTTATTTTTTTTAATTTTTTATCCTAAATCAACAGTACTATTGATGAAACCTACCAGGAACTCTAGAACTATTGCGGGTGCAAGCAGTACTGTTATTAAAATTTCCAATTTTTAAAGTTGAGGTGCTAACTTCACAGAGACTCTTCTTCTCAGGTTCTACGGTCTCAACTAATTTGGCTTCCCCTGAATAAAATCCTGACTACATCTATTATTATTCCCCCAAATCTACAAGTATAATTCAATTAGTGCGAAAGAAGTGTCAACATTTGAAAAATAAACAGATAAATATTTTTAAAATATAGAAAATAGACAAAATAAACATTCTGCTAAACGCGGTCAATATTTACGATTGCAAATTAAACAAAGATAGCTAATCCTAAATCTCGAATAATCACAGCATTGATTACTTTCTTCATATTATACATCGCATTTTAAACGATTTCAGAAACAAGTCACGAACAGGACAAAGAGTGGGCGTTTGTACGATACGAAACGTTATCTGCGCGTCGTTAACCTTTTCAATATTCAAGGAACGGCATTGTGCATATAATAATAAACGATGAATAAACCTTAATATACACGATTGGATTATTCGTGTCCTGTACATTTTTTTCTTCAAAAACTTAGAAGCATCAAGTAATTAGTTATAGTATTTATATAAAATTTTTTTATTAAATGTACAATTTTATAAATATTCCCTCTTCTTAAAAACGTAAAAATATACGTAAAAATAACTTAATAATAATAATGTTTATGTATTTGTTAAAATGATGAAAATTAACCCATCATGTCTGATAAAGAATAAAAAAAAAATGTACTAAGGGTTAATAATAAACGACAATCATGTGCTTGAGACTATTTTTGACGACGTAACCAAAACATCGTAAAAATGTTAATTTTAACTTAAAGCCGTACAATGTATTTTCGCAAAAATGTTAAAATTAATATTTTTAACGGGATCGTCGATCGTTTGACAGGACCCGTTAAATTCTCTCTTGTCATCTAATTGGTTAAAAAAAGACGAGCAGAAGCGATGGTGAATCCTACTGTAAAAGTGCTTCTGACATTTGAAGACACTCGCGTGCGAGTGTTTCCACGGACGTCCTTGGGTCAGTTCGCTATGCGCAACATCAGAAATTCAACCTGATCGCGCGAGGCCGCTTACATTATCGCTTTACGGTTACGTCGTGCACTTGCACAGACCCTTCGTTCAATTCCGTCAAAGACCGAGAATGTATTTTCGACCTCACCCTTCCTGTGGAATTTTCGCGAGCGCACGATGAAAAACAAAAACACGATTCGAGAGCAGATAAACACGGGAGTAGGTAAACAGATTCGGAGCGAGGCACAATTCCGGATTTCCGGCTTTCCAGTAAGGTCGGTTCTACAATAGATTTTTAAACTTTCAACTATATAAGAAATAGACGAATCACAGTCAATTATTCTTCTCGCATTCTACTGTAATTGACCAGTTTCTTATGGCTTAAGATTTAAAACATCTATTGTAGATCCAGATTATGAGACATAGGCTGCTTTCCTTTTAGGAGATACAATCAGCACAAATGTCATTCTATCTTTGTTATTATATTATCGACTTTGATTGTTTATTCTTGTCTAATCCACGTGATAGAAAAGAATCACAAAAACCTAGACATTATCCTACGAGGTTTGGTACACAAAAAAGAGATGTCCATTCTCAGATTTCTCTCTGATGTTTAGGGATAGAACGATGTTGTGCCGACTGTGTCTCCTAAAAGGAAAGCAGCTACAATGTAAAATGTAGGGTTTCCTGTAGACGTGGAAAAAAGGAGAAAAGATAAATTGTCAAAGAAGTTGAGCTAACAAAACAGACCTACAGTGAATTCAAGCTTCTTTCCTTTCAAAAGACACAGTTAATAATACAAGTGTCGTTTTATCATTGTTATTCATTGAATGTCAAGAAGAATAGGGCGACGTTGTCCCTTAAAAGCAGCTTTAGAGACTCTATAACAAAATCTGATCACGAGATGGCAAACTTTTGATTAGTTTATTGTTTTTGTCAACTTTAGTAAATTAACATGAATAAAGTGACGTCGACATTGAGATTTTAAGGCGTAATTTTAAACTTTAAGCCCTAAGCCATAAAAATTTATCAATCACAATCGAACATGAGGACTATCGACTATGATTGGTCAATTTCTTACGGCTTAAAGCTTAAGTTTCTAGTCTTAAAACTCCATTGTATACGCTGCTTAAAACAGTATAAGTTAGAATAAAGTACAGCATAGATAAAAAGAGACAGTATTCATAATTAGTTCTTATATTCAAGACCGTTTTAAGTTCAGTCTTGAGGTCTCACAAACCAATCAGAAGGCTGCATTAGCGTCTTAAGACATTGCTTAAGATGGTTTTGAAATAAGAATCGACTATCAATACCGGCCATATACATAAGAAACAATGTATATTCTTCCTTTTTTATTTATTATGGGATTTCTGCAATAAGTCATTACCTAAGCTTTAAGTTTTAAGCCGTAAAAAATTGATTAACCACAGTCGATTATTATTCTCACATTCGACTGTGACCGGTTGATTTCTTACGGCTTAAGAATTAAAGCGTTACTTATAACGACTTATCGTAGAACGCGTGTTACTCTTGTTTTGACAAAAATTACTGTGACCAGATTCTGTTGTAGAATCTTTATCTGGTATCGGATACATACCGGGTGCGTTACTTTCGAATCTTTCGATTCCCGAAACCGCGAAAACTTTGTTTTGGTGTCGCGCACGGCGCGACCACGAGAGATCCTGTATCAAGATCGTGGCCGGTCTTTGATCAAACGCGAGACTAGCCGGCGGTAAACAGAGAACGAACGGGAGAAGGCAACCGGACCGGATCGCGAGGACACGCACCTTGCGCGTTACCCTTCCTCGGAAACCGACGACGAAGGAGGACGGTTCGACCTTTGCGCGCGCGTTCTCTCCACCGTTAAGTTAACCGCACGCTTGTCTCTCCTCGTATAAAAATACGGAAATAGAAAGTCGGATGCTGCTCCGCACGGTGCTCCTCGAAAGACATTTTTCACTTTAGACTTACACACGAGGGTACCCAAGGGAAATTCAAAGAATTCTGTTTTTCTTTCGGAGACCCGAAAGCGCGCGACACCGCTGTGCGTAATGTATGTTATGTTTTCACTTACCGGCCGCGACGGAACGTTGTGTTGCTCAGTGACCGACGTTTCTTGGTCAGGCACGTCGCCGCTTTCCACGGAGAACTCCAATCCACCCGCTCGGACAAACACGCGACTCACCAATGCGAAAAGTGCGAACTGCAGCACACCGCAAAGTGCGAACGAGGAAATGTATGTTTGAGAGCCAGGCGGGACCGGCGCGCGCGACGCCGCCTGTCGGAATGCGCCGCGCCATCTTGAGTACCTGACGTCATGCTGGCCATGGCGCCATGTCGATCGGCGGGAAAAGTCAAATGCACCCGAGAAATCTGAACAGAGAATATTTTAATTAATAAAATATTTAATAATTAAAAGTTATTATTCACGGAATAAGTAATCAAATTACTATTATTCACTGAATAAAATTCACTGAATTAAAATACTTAAGTAAATAGAAGAAGCAAAAGACAAGTGTCTTTGTATAAATTATCTATTAAAAAAGTCTTTTTCACAATGCACACATACAATTATTATATATATGTGTTTATATATATAATATAAAATATGCTCCTTTTATTTACTATTAACTTTTGTTAAAAAAGTCTTAACTTTTACAATTTTGTAGAATACTTAATAAACTATTGTATTCGAATCTTATATTAAAAGATTTCTATTATTAATAGATAATAGATATATTGTACTGAAGTCTTTATTAAAAATTCTCGAAAAACCTTTTGCTATAATTATAAATTCAACGATGTAATCTTCGATGCGATGCAGCATTTGAATGTTTGGTTTCGTTATCGCGCAACCTCAGATGACATTTCCAGGTCCGTGGAAGCTCTCCTACGAGGAGGAAGGCGCATGTCTCTCCGTTCGAGCGCACAGTGTGGTGACGGCCCTGCTCGCCGCGGTGATACGTTTTGACGTCCAACATGGCCACCTGATGTCTAGCAGACGATACACACAGGTGGCATGGGAGAGCTGTAAATAAAATCCACCCTCTAGATTTAATTATGAGCGGACGTGTGCAGAAGGAGAGTGTCGATGATTCCGATCGCATCGACGATGCAGTGGACCCGCGAGTGCAGGTGAGTGTCACCGCCGTCCGCGTGTACATCGCCCGGAATGCCCCCCCCCCCCCCCCCCGCAACTCTGCGATATTGACACTCTCGTCGTCGGCGAGAAGAAGTCTCGCTGCGATTAAATCGTACGGAAAGAATCGCGTCATAGGACGTGCTTTAACGACGAATTTCACCGTGAGTCTCAGTGTGTAACCAGTCCCATTTTCCTTCGTGAACGTCTCCTACTATACTTTTCCTCCTCCCTCTGCCCGCTCACCCACGCACGCACACACGTACGAGTCATAAAACGTCCCCGATTCCTAATCCTCTCTTTGTCCCCCGCCCGGCTGTGAAGGCCTATTATCACGACAGCGCGTGCTAAATTACCTTCGTTGCCCGGTCTCGACGCGAGAAATTGGAGCACAATGAGTGAGGCTTCTTACATACATATATATAACAATTAATTTATATATATATATATATATTTCTTTTTAAAGGCGAGAGATGAAATGTAAATTGCTCAAATGAAAATTTGCACATGTACAAAATACTTTTGTCTTATTTAACATAAGAATGATAAATATTTTTTAATGACATCTAATTTATATGTTTTTTAATGAAATGTGTGATATTTTGTTTCAGATTGAACTTGAAAGATTAAACACAGCTACGGACGATATTAATAAATTAGAAGTTGATTTAGATGTAAGTACTACTTTTTATTAAAGTATGACCTTGCCTTTGTAATTGTCCCTTGCCTATCTAGATTTCATATTGCGATATATACATGGAATGATGCTTGAAGAACAAAATTGCCAACAAGTTTTGAAACTGGTTGCGATTAGATTTCATTGAGATGATTGCTGTGTAAGATATATGTAAATGGATAATGATTTGAAACAATGATCTTAACAGCACCGTCTATGATGGCTTCAGCTAAAGAAATAATTTTTAATTTGCGATTGAGGCTTGATTTAAGAATGTAGGAATTATATGCATATTACATATGTTCCATTCTTTCCATTTCATAGAAAATTTTATTTCCTCATGTTTATATATAGGAAGCAAGAGCAACCTTTAGAGAATTATTGTGTGAATCAACAATCAAGATTGACGCTTTGGCTAAGAAACTTGGAGCTTGCATTGAAAAATCCAGACCGTACTATGACTCTAGGTTTAAAGCAAAAGAGGTAAGCATATTCATATTTAGATAACTATTACATTTTATGATTAGATCTACAAGAAACATTTTTATTTTAGGCTTTACAAGAAACGCAGAAGGCTGCGATTAGATTTGAGAGAGCCAACAGTCAACATGCGGCGGCTAAAGAAATGGTTTACTTAGCCGAGGAAGGACTGCGGACCGAAGGAAGATGTTTTGACCATGCTTGGCAGGTAAGACTTTTCAATATCAAGTCTTAAGAAAAATTATACACAAGATATTACATAAGAAATATATTATAGGAAATGTTGAATCATGCTACGTCGCGAGTTAATGAGTCAGAGCATGAGAGAGCTCTCTCTGAAGCTGAGCATAGGCACACGACTGCATTATATCACAAAGCGGAACACGAAGTTCAAAGGTTGCAACGTGAACTGAAGCGTACTATTGCTAAATCTAGGTACGTAAGGAACCTGCTCTCTCATTAATGGAGCTCGAGTATACCTATTTTTCCAATGGTTTTTATAATGCATGAAGTTACTGCTATAGTTATTTTTTTATACGAATCACTTTGAAGAGCTAAAACCTTGTATACAACCAAGTTAATGTATCAGAACACGATAAATGTTTATATACAAAACCTCTTATTTTTTTCTCTTCCTGTTGCTATTGACATTTTATCTCTACTTAAATAATCATCGAATTACTTTCGAATGATTATTACATTTATGTTGTTTTCTATAGACCTCTTACGGTATTTATGTGTTTTGGTTATATGTTCATGTTGGCAGTATGGGTGCACGCCGCAGCTTGCTTCTGATAAACAGTATCGCCTACAGGCACCACTTGCTCATGTTGTAAGTAGGATAGATATTCTTTTTTATTTTTTTAAATACACGACATTTATTTCGTATGTGTTATCGAACCAGCTCTCTCTGTTTTTATTTTAATCATCATCCTGATTGTGCATGAATGGTATACATGTATTTTTGAGAATATTTCGAATGTACAATCTGCTAGTTTTTTTATTGAGCCTTTCACAATAGATGTGACTGCACACAAAATTCATCAAGTTGCTTCTTCCTAATCAAATTGTCGTGCAATGATTTGTTATGCATAAATATATTATACTACATTCAAATGCTGATAGTAAAAATATAATTTTTTTAACTTAATGAAATATTACGTAATCATGTAGGCCTTACTATGAAATGAAAGCACACTTTAATCAAATGCTGGAGGAGCAGAAGATGAAAGTCAGTGTACTGGAGAGATCAGTTGGGGAAGCAAAATCTTCGTACGCGGAAGCATTACGAAATTTAGAAAAAATCAGCGACGAGATTCACAGGGTATAGATATATACTTGTGTGAATATAACGTGATTCGAACTATGTAAAATCTTCATGATACTTTTGCTAACAGACAAGAAGATACGACGGTTTAGACGAATACGATAAGAGTACACAAGACGCACCCGATCGCTCCACTACGCAAATTAACACGGCGACTCCAACGGATTCCAGTGTAACTGGATCTCCAGACAGCACAGATTATATTAGTGACGAATACTTACGCCTTCCCGACAAGATGAGTCCGAATGTGCCATGTCCCATGCCTACAAGAGTAAGTGCACATTCCTGGCAAATCGTACTTCCTAATTTTATTAATCGATATATCATGCTTTCTTTTCAGATCGAGAAAGATTCATCGTCGGAATACCTGGGCCTAAACAATCTGAACCTTTCATCCACCGAACCTCGTAAATACATCAAACGGGACCGTCCACGAAGCATCGCTGCGACCGACTCGAAACATATCGTATCTCTAAATCATACAAGTTCTTCTGCACCAGGTCTGACGGATCTGTCGGGCATTATATCTCCGATTGAAAAGAGAGTCAAAATTCAAACGCCCGTGAACGATCGCAAGAATAATTCTACTAATTCTCAAAACGGAGAAGAATGGACGGAAATTAGCCTGAACAATTCACCGGATGAAGTTTATTACAATAACGACGTGTATTCCGATGAGGAAGATCAAATTCCCTACAAACCGCTACCGATGGATCTAAGTCCAGAACTTGCTCAGACAATTAATGCCACCATCGATCCGGCGAAGGAACAAACTAGTCGAAAAAGATTAGTAACGCAAAAATCTTTACCCACAATGTCGAAAGTAAATGAAGTTACTTTAAGCGAAGAGAAGAAAGCCGAAGTTACGAGAAGTCCATCAGTAAAAAATAGAAGCAAGCTCGATAGTACCTTAGCTAATTGGATAACTAGAAGTTCAGCCGGTGGTGAAACTAGTGGTGGTAGTTCCAGTAAGTGAATGAATGCATCTTTGCATTTTATATATTGTAAAATAAAATTTTATATATTGTAAAATGTATATACGTACGTTAACATATTTTGCTATTTCAGCGAATTCAAGCAGAAGACAATCTCTCGATATGTTATGGAGTGGCGGTACCGGGGAGCGCGTTAAGGAATTACTTAACCATGGCATGATGATGTTAAACATATCTAGCTTAACGGAACGACGTTCCAGCGAACCAAAGACAGCGGAGAGAGACAAGGAAAAGTCTGACAAATCTGAAAAGTCGGAAGTTAAAGGAAAGAAAGTCCCAAGTCCGTTAGAGAAAACAATGAGCTATCTCAATGCCGACGAGGAGACGTCAGACAGCGAAAGTTTAGCTAGGTAAGTTTATGCTGATATATTCTCATCAATCAACGATATTATTTTAATTTTTCTTTTTCTTATTAAATTTGCGATTAGCGTGGAGATGCTAACAGAGGATCAAATCTCTTCACTCATGATGGAGCCGGACATGAATCAAGTATGCCAAGAGATTCTGGGAACTCCCTTAGTCGAAGTATGTCCGTTGTTGCAACAATTACAGCAACAATAGCCTTATCACAGAGGAATTTGCACGACAAAGTGGCAAAGATTCAACAATAGAAAGTGTTCAAGATCATTATAAACCGGTAACATAATTAAGATACATCTCCTTTTTGTTAAGCTACTGCACTATCATATTATATTATGTTTCCATCTATTACGTATCATAATTTGTAGATTTTTTTGTTATGTGATATAGAGGAAAGTAGGGTAAAGTAAAGGTTGTATTTCTATGTAGGTAATTGTCAGATTGATTCCGATTATTTATGGGTTTTACTCGGTATTATCAAGTTATTTTATTAATTAGAAAAGTAATATTTATATGCTCAGAAAATATAATCGGTTAAGGCTTTTAGTCAACTCAGAACTTGCGTTAAAAATATCTCATTAGCTTCTCGGGCACTACAAAGCCTAACGTCATATTTTGTGAATACGCTTACACAATGTCTCAGCTTGTGAAGAGTGTTTTCGAACTTATTCTATAAAATCTTTCTAACGTTTAAGATTTGGTAAAATTATGAAACATTATTCGCTGAGAAAGCAATATGTAGTTACTTTTTCTAGAATATTGTGTAGTTTAATCTAGATACTCGTACACAAATTTATTCCAAGTCGCATCGACTATTTTTTGCTTGCCTTTACATGCGACTACTATCACGTTAAAGTCTCTCGGAGCGTTTAACAAATATATTAGAATATTGTGCTATTGCAGCGAAATATCAAACAATTTAGACAAATTAGGTAAACAAAACAAGATTGCGTTCACCATGCTACGTTGGAAGATAACCGAAGGTTTAATAAGACCCATTTTTAGTAGTGTAGATTAACTTTAATATATATTTCGATTTAATTTATTCTTTATCTTTTTCTAATTTTTTTAACTAGAAGATAAAAAACAAGTTAATTCGAGATTAAAATTAATTTTTGTTGATAGAAATGGACATACGATAAGCACTTCCTTGTCTCTCTCTCTATCTCTTCTTTATCAAAATACGCGATTGGTCGATCCAAGTTACTCGCGAAGCGTACAACCGAAAGAAAAAAAACATATATAGAAAGTTACCAGATGCCAATTATGACTGCGATGGTTAGATTATCTTTAATGCGGAACGAACTGTATATATAAGCGTAGCATAATAATAACAATTCTAAATGTACATAAGTCTGTGTGCAAAACGTACTGTTGACATCATAAATATCTAAAAAGTACTCATTTTGAATTTCATTAATATATGTAATTTGTTACGCGAAGCTATACGTTCGATCAAGTGACAGCACGTTTTGAGCACAGATGAGGATTCTCGCGGCTTTTTGGCAGTCACGCTGTTTCATATGAAGCTTCGCGACATAAATAAAACAGTATTCACTCCAGTCAGGTTGAGCAAGATATTTTTCAATATTTTTCGCTCTGATAAGGACGAGGCGTGCCTGTCAGTAAGTATTTTATGGCTGTCCCGAGATTGCTGTGCGAAAAGCGAATGTTATACAAATTATTATGAACAAAATAGTTTGGATAGTCGAATGATATTCGATCATGATAATAATATAATAGATCGAAAGCTTGCTCGAACGGATTCAGGCACTCGAATGAGTGAAATTTAAATGTAGCTCCATCATTTATATTGCTGCGTATTGTGATATAGCTCTTAGAGATTTTAGACATTCAGTTTTGGATTATCCAATTTTCGAACGAAAACCTTAGTGCAAAGAATGCATGCAATATGCTATTTATAAAGAGTAATATATATATAATATAAATTAATAATATATATAAATTATTTATATATAAATTAAGTTATATATACATATACAAATTCTATTTATTTTGAGCGTAATTTTCTGTAACCGACATTAATTGACACTTTTCATACAGTGTTCGTCAATTTTTATAAGAACGGTGGCATTTATGCTTTTTGATAAGGGATTGTTTTACGACTCGTAACTTTTGTCAAAGGATCTCTATGTCGCGTGAATGTGCAACATTATTTAATTAAAAATAAGTGTTGCAGCTATCAGGGATGTATTCCGTCTGGTGTATGCAATGCTTGCAAGCATTATAATAATTTCATCCTTTATAAAATATTTAACAATGTTTATAAAGTATTAAACAAAGATGAAACGATGCACGCGAGCGTTGCAAACGCTAAGTGGAACACATCCCAGATTTCGCTATCAGAAAATGTTGTCTGTTACATGTGTATACAGCTTCACGCAGATATCATTATTGCCACTCTTCTGTAACATAATCTACTCGAAAGCTGGTGATCACGTTTTAATGTTAAAGTTGGCGCCGAACCGCGATTTCGAATATTTCCACGTATGTACGTATAAAACACGACAAGCATAATTCGCTCATTTCAATTATTCGCTCGGAAGTATAAAGCCGTAGAAGAAGAGAATAAAAATGAGACGCCATGTTGTCTGCCAATCTTAATTATTTTTGCTCACATTTTCCATTTATATACATACAGATTGAACGTGCACATTGTTAAATTTATAATGTCAAATACCCACAAATTGAATTATTTTTTAATTATTTCTATAGGTCTACTCCCATTCGATATATTAATTTAACTAAAACAATGAAGTTAAACTGTTTAACTCAAGAAAATGTATTAAATTTGACTCAAATTTAGTTTATTATTTATTAAATACGTACTTTAATATGGACGTTGTTTACTTTGAAACTAATTACAGCGAAATGGATTGATTTATATTTTGACACACATACACTGAGAGAAAATGTACTAAATAATATATAATAATTATTTGAATAGTACGAATGTAACATTTACTTATCAAAAATAAATATTTGCTAAATAAAAAATATAATAGTTAAATTAAATTAATGATTCTTGTATCAAATAAATGTCTACATTTAGTGAATATTAAAACTAGCGCTATTCAAGGAAATATTTATTAAAACTTAGTGCGCTTTTTTCTCTCAGTGTGAAAGTTATAAAAATAACAAAATATTATTTTTAGTTCCCAATTGTCCCTCCCACATTTAACAAGTGTACAACTTTGTATGAGTAAAGACAAAAGAATTTTGTTAGTGGCGAAATATCGAAGGCTGAAGATCGTTCGTCGAAATTCCACATAATCACAGCGTCGTCGCGCTCGCGAGATGTATTTTTTGTCCCGCGTTTTTCAATATAAAACGATATATACAGCGAGCGGGGACGCGCACAGCGATAGCGATAACAAATTGTATTGTACATACCTAATATTGTATATGTGAATGTAACTATGTATATATACATCATTATCCTCCATTAAAACCTCATTACGAAAAGCGTACGCAGGAACGTGCGTCTAACGAACTTGACTCACCCATCGAAATCCGTTCGAATTCAAACCGAACGGTTGGCACTAGTTCGAATGCAACTTCACGCTGCACTTTTTTCGCGAGGCGTAATCGCCGCATTGTATGTACTTCTGTAAAAATGGATAAACGTCGTGGCGTTATTATTCAACATACTTAGATCAGAAGATCGATTATGTATTTTGAAACGAAGCGAGATTTACAAAAACGAACGGATTTACTAGATTATTCATTTTTGTAATTTTCACTTCGCGTTTCAAGATTATAATTAACTACGCCCCTATACATTTTTATAAATTAATTATGTCATCACATTAAATATAAAAAACGGAAAAATATGAGATCAATGCGATTAAAATTGTGCGACAATTAATTACCTTATTATTTCAACTATTACAATCTTAATTAATTAATTGTCGCATTATTTTACTGTAAAATCTTTCAACACTACTAATTGTATCATTTTATTCACGTATCAATTACCGCGCTAAACTATTTGCCATTTTCCTTTTTAAATATTTTTCTAAAGTCGCGTATTTTGACTCACCTCGTCGTTCGTTCGAATTCAAATCGCAGATTGGCTACGATACGCCATGATCGCAGTTATCGTTCGGAAAATCAGAGGAGTGATTCGATAATTAATCTCGCGATATCGCGAAAAACAAATAAATAAATTGGCTCGGACGCAACGATGCGATTGCACCGATATATGTAATAATACGCAACGGCCGCGGGACGACGCGATTCAAACGTCTGTTACCAGACGCGACCGTTTGAAACGTAGTTAGCGCGGCGGCCGAGTGGCGGCGCGCATAGCGTGCGGCGGCGCGACGAACACCAACCGCCATGATGGGGAAACGAAAATGGCGTCGCGTGTACGGTGCCGATGATCTCCCGTTTCGCCGCGTTCGTGTTCGCGTAGTTGCTGTGTACGGCGTCTGACGGAGCGTCTCAATGCGTTTCAACGACAACGACGACGGACGTTTAATCGGCGTGTGGTGTACGTAATACGAGAATCGCTCGTTGTGAATAACTCAGGTTCGCTTGGCGGTCGTGCCGCACGTACGGACGTTACGACGAGTGGTGGTGGCGGCGGCGGCAACCACGACGACGACGACGACGACTGTCGCAGTGACGGTGATTAAATCGTGCAGACTACGACGGTACCGGCGGACTCGCGATAATCCTCGTGTGTTTTCCTTCCCGCCGCGAGAACCAACCTCGTCCCCGTTGGCATGACGAAGGACGCGAGGATCTCCTGCGGCGAGGTAATGTGTTTTGACGACGTGCGCGAGTGAAGCACCTCTCCGCGTATCGTCCTTGTCCCGCTTGCGATCGTGGGACAACCCCCGTCGGGTGGATCGTCTTCCGGAGGCGGCGACGAGAACGACGTGCGCAGCCACGACGACGACGACGGCGGCGACGTGACGGCGACGTGCGACGTCTAGCATCTCCGCCCGACCATGGCGGTGAATCCGCGTGATATGGACGGCTTCATGCCGCTCCTGTCAACGACGGATATCAAGAAGAAGCTCAACGTCGGCACCGCGCTGCTCAATTTCCTCGGCGACTTGAGCAAGAGCATCGAGTGCCAGGACATCGGCATGTTTATCGACAATATTATACCCTGGCTCGGCAACGGCAATCCCAAGGTAAGCGTTCGGCGACAGCGACGATGTCCAAGATCGCTCCGCGCCGACGTCGAGGCGTTCCGAGTCCACCTAACCTTCACCCGTGGCATTTTTCTCCGGCTACTTTCTGTGACTTTCACGTTATTTATAGATACTTGGCTTGACTATACTTGTCCTCCACTTTATTAAATGCTAAAATTGAAACAGAAACGGAGAAACACGATTTTTTTCTCCTCCCAAAGTAACATACTAGTGGCCGCTTTTTTTCTTGAGAATATCGATAAACATTTATTGATATAAAGATAAGACTGTGGATATATTTATTTTAAAAAATCATTTATCGTTATTACTAGTGTTATTTATTGCTTTGAAGATTACGTCAAGAATGGCTTTCGTAACGTTCATTATATTTTAGGGATTGTTGACATCTGCATTAAAACCGAGCTTTACTGTGTTTAAAGATGAATTATAATTGAGGAAAGGATGGAGCAATACGAATTCGAATTAACTCACCCTTGACCTTGTATAACTGGAGTTTTTTTGCTTGTAAAACAAGATTGCACAACCGGTAAGCGGGAAACGTTGATTAAATCATTGGCTGCGTTCAGCAGAAAGTAGCAGTTTTGCAGCTGTTATAAAGATTCTTTAATATAATTGGTTTTTGCCCTTAGTTCCTCAGGGATTTAGATATATAAACAAATTATATTAAAGAATTTTATAATAGTTACAAAATTACTTTTTCTGCTAAAAACAGCCATTAAAACTTAGAAATTATAAATATATGGATATGTCCCATAATGTTACTTAATTTGTAATTGGAGTAGGTATTGGGTGATTTTAGAACATTTTCTTAGTTTTTGAATAGAGTACAATAATTTGAAATAATTTTATGAATATACTTTTAAAACTTGTTTTTATAAAGTAATAATACGGCAAACACACAGAGAAAATATGAACAATTAATAGATGTTGTGAATTAAAGAATAAAAATTGATTGATTGTTATTTAAATATTATAGGAATTGTTTTGAATTCACAGACTCTTCTTCAGCCAAAGGAAATAAATAAATATTATTCATAAATAAAAATTAATTAAAAGTGGACCATAATTGGTAGATTAAAAGCTAATGAGTTAAAACAAATTAAAATCACAGAAACATTATTCAAACAAATGTGTGTATTATCAGTTAATTAAATAAAAGAAAGAACAAATAAGTGAAACGTATAAAATGCAAAACGCATTGCATATTATCTTGTTGAAAAATATAATTGGCTCCTCAAATTGAGACAGAAGAAAGAATCTTGTCCGGGACCTAAATGTTAAAATGGTCAAAATCTTTTGGAGTTAAAAAAAACGTTAAGGGAATGGCATTTTGAAAAGATGGCATACACATTTCTCGGACAATACGTGTGACAAACCAGTCTACGAGAACGGTTACAACAACTGCCTATGAATATAGTTCGGTAAAAGTGTAGGTGTATCATCTTTTTCAATATATGCCATTCTTTTAACGTTCTTCTGGCCTAAGATCTTCTTTTCTGACTTTAACATTTTAACTGTCCGTCCCAGACAAGCTTTTTTTCATTGTAATAAGATCTGTTCCTATCAAAGAACTCTCTGAATTTATTGCACAGTGCAATAAGTTTAAGTGAAGGACCTCAGTGTCACAAAAAGTATATGTTTTTGTTACGAGTTAATCACACATGGTGGTACAAAGGGTTAACACTCAATCGAAGTCAGTCACGTTGGATTCGCGACCGCGAGGTCTCCTAGTTGAGCACATGACGCGAACGGTCCATAAATGGAGAAAGGAGACGATTGATCAGTCGCCATCGCTTGCCTTCGGCGCGCTCCGTAAAACGCCGCTTTTTCGCGCTCGCACGTGAGAACGTTACCGCCCCTGTTCTCACCTGTGCGTCGCGAAATGGGAACAACCGATTTAGCATCTGTGTGACGCGAAGCAACGCGCCGGAGTAAGTAGTCCGGTACCGACGAAAGTGCCATTCGTCATAATTTACTGCCGTTCGTTTCCTCGGCGCTGTGAATGACCAGCATACGTTCAATTTTTCTTTTGCTTATTTTCTCCGATAAGTTCGAGTGACCCTGCTGGACAAAAATAATACATATCTTTACGGTTTTATGACTCTCGGAACTACTTGTGTTTACCTTTTTAGATATCTTGGTGAATATTTTATCTTTATTGATGGTTAATTTGGACTTAATTTAACGATAAAGTAAAAACTGTATTTTTCTATTTATAATTAATCATATGATTCTGTAGTGAATGACTTCTAAGCCTTCACAATAGGCCTGTTGTTCTTTTTCCATATTCCAAGACTAAACTTTTCTTTTGCACGGATCATCTTCCTTGTTATTCTTTTCACTTTGGAGAAAAAAAGACAAAAGATAAACCATATGCTAGAAGCTCAGTCCTGGGATATGGAAAAAGAACGTACCTTATATGTATATGGTTACTTAAAGAGTAAAGGTTACCAAGAAATTCATGAATGAATTTCATTGATGAACCTTCACTTTTTAGGTATAACCATATATCGTGAAAATGAGCCTTAAAATTTAAACTACTTACGAAACCATTATTTTATTTAGTGATTAATCATAACTAGAAACACAATTTTTATATTATCGTCAAGTTACCTTTTAGTATACATACGATGATTTTTCCTTTACATGATGGATAATTTTCATTATTTTAACAAATGTTCAAAAATTATTAAGTGATTCTTACATGTACTTCAACATCTTTAAAGAGTATTTATAAAGTTGTGCGTTTAAACAAATTTTATATAAATAAAATTACCGATTACTTGATACTGCTTTCAGTTTTTCGAAGAAGAAAAGGAACGTGCCGTGCAGGATCGCACGAATGACCCAATCACGTATGCTAATGGTTAAATGAGATTACATCTAAATTACAAGTTAATTAGATAATGAAAAAATCGAAGACGAAAGCACAAAGCAGAAGTCGTTTCGCGCAAGCAGCAATTGATCGTTGCGAAGTATTTATTTAACGTCAAATACGTGCACATTATGCAAGATCAGAGTAATTAGGATGTTTAAAGGGATTTGAAGCACCGATCACGGCTCTTTAAATGCACGAGTATTTCAACAAGGGATATACAGCTGTTTACTCTAAAAATTCAATTATCTTGCTCTGTAAGTGCGAAAGATCAATGTCGCGTCATCACGTTTAAGACTCAATGCTAATAAACGTTGTAAATTATAACGCCATGTGCGATGTAATCCTTCGAAAGCGGCAGCGTAATATGTCGATCATTTATTTATTATTGAGAACATATATCTTCCGTTTTATTGCGATTACCATTCCGTAACACGATGAAAATCCGAGCAATGAAACTCGACACGTGGATAGTAAATGAGCGTAATTTGGTGTAGAAAACAGTTAATTGACTCGTAACAAGAACACATTCCTTTGTGACGTTAAAGAAACATGATTTCGTGGGATTTATTCAAGTTTTTGTTATTACTTTTGTTTTATTTAAGAATTTTCAAGTTTAATTCCTAATCTGGTATAACACTGTTTGAGAAACACAAATAAAAATTAAAATAAATTAAATTAAATTTAAAAAATAACACAATTAAATTAAATGAAATATTATTAATAGGATTTGTTGATTCTAAATCTTGGCCGATATAAACACGTTGAATTTTTTGTCAAAAAACTTTTTTTAATTCTTTTTTAAATTATTCCCAGGAATAATCGTCAGCAGGACCCATATGTTTCAGTTACGGTTTAATGTCTAACTGCTAACACATTGAGCTTTCCTTACATATTGCATAAGAAACGCAAGCAACGCGTACTTTTGTAAAGATACTGTATAGGGGAAGCGGAATGTTTATACGTTGGCACAGTAAGTCTTTAATCTTTATTTCCTGCGAATGTGGATATGTTGATTTCGACTTCGACCACATTTATCCGGCGCACAATGCATTATTGAACACAAAAATCGGAGAATAAAATATGTACGTAATGAGACAATATATCTATACAAGGACTGAAACGAAAGTAAAATAGACATTCGCGCGTTTAATTAATTAGGCGAACAAGATCAGAGATATAAACGAAAAAATATCATCGTAATATAATACATGGAGATAGTTGAATGTATTACTGCGAATTGAATTGAACTTTTATATTTGTTCCTCATATTTTTTTATGGATATTTATCTTTCTCTCTTTCATATGTACCTCATAACTGTTATATTACATTATATCTCACTCGATCCTAATTTCGTATGATCGCGAGGTAGGTGCCGACCAGGGTGTGTCGAGTGACAAACTTATTACCTTATGTGCGTGTATGCGTGCCAGGGGCTCTCACAATCAGTCGTTTAATATTCATACACTGCATGCAATCTTTAAGGGGAATCTAAAATCGTTTGTTTTACCAATTCAATAGAATCTACACATACGATTTGATACATTGCTACACATTATTATATCAACATCACACGTACATACGAATACAAATTTTCTAACTATCTGATCTTTAATATTATGCTGAGAAAAATCACTTGGTTGAATTAAACTGTAATTTTGATGGAAATGGACGAATCAGAATTTTTTGGTTAAAATTAGAATTCTAGTTAAGATAATTAGAATTTTGATTGATATATAATTATTCTGGTAAAAATAAAAATTTTAGTAGATTTTATCAGAAATATTGTATCAACCAAAATTTTGATAATCTCAACTAAAATTTTAATTTTAATAAAAAATTCTGATTCGTTTATTTTCAACTAGAATTTTTTTCAATATAGGTATCTAAGCGTAATTCTAAGAATTTAACATTGTTTATATAATTCCTAGTCCAAGTTTGGATTTTAAACCAAAATTGTTTTATATGTACAAAGTAGTATAAAGATAAATGTTATTTCGGATCGAGACGCCAGAAGCAAATAATAAAACTTTAATTTTTTTTAACTTTTTTTCGTTTTTTACTTAAAATTGACTAGTTTGGACTATATTATCGTTTATATTT